ATACCCTTATCGATTTCTATTTTCCTGCCTCCCTGCGACCTTTTCATTTGATGCAGAGCACAGACAAAATGCATGGTAGATAAAAAGGGTTCTACAAACATTAACATTTCCTGCAGACAGAGCTTTGGTAGCATTTTAACTCCTGTATGAACCAGATGCCAGTTCCTAAGCATCATTCTTGTTCCAGATTGAAAAAGCTTTTTCATTTTTTGAAATAATGGGTTTCATCAAGCATGTTTCTTACAATCAATCAAGGCATAGGAGAAGCTAACAATTTTTTTTAATAAGTTTTATTCTTAATAAACCGAACCAAAACAAAAACAAAACCCCTAAAAACAACATCAATCATCAAGAACATCGGACCTGCTGGGTCAGCCCCCCACATTTTTTCTTTTTATGGAAAACTATAAACATATTTGAATCTATGCATAGTCCCATTTCTCTAGCCAGGAGAAGCGAACGATTTGAAGAGTAAGGAGTTAATTACTCATTTACTTGTCATTTTCAGGTTCACAATCACAGAATAATGGAAAGGTTTAGAATTCAGGAAGTAGATTTGTACAAAATAATCTGGTAAATGGTCTTAATGGAAAAAATACTTGAAATTGAAGGTGGCAAGGGGTTAGGTAAGCATGATTCACTTTATGCAATCTGGCATTATTTTATTTACAGGAAAAGGATGGACAATCAATATCATTTCCCCCACACAAAACAGAGCATTGGACTGAGATTCAGGAGATTTGGTCCCGGCTCGGCCATGCAGCCAGCTGGGTAACTTTGGACAAAACACCGACACTCAGCCCAGCCTACCTCACAGGGTTGTTGTGGGAATCGGATTCAGTGGAGGAGAATGATGTATGCCACTCTGAGTATTTTTTAAGAAAAAAGGCAGGATATAAATCTAATAAATGCAATAAATAAATTATAGTATACAGAATTCTGAAAAGAAAAAATGACAGTATGAATGAGAGTATAACAATTGATAAGTGAACAGTTTGAGTTGAAACTAAGATCTCTATAACCTTGTGTCCAATGCTTACCTAAGTTATTTTCCTTTATTTTATAAATGTAATACATGTATCATCTTGTATTATTTACATTTTTGGTTGCTCTTTTATTGTTTGGCACAATAAAAAAGAGAGACATGATGAATGCAAGCGCATTTCTATTTAAAGAAATGCCAATTCCACAAAAGACAGCTCTAGTGATTTTTAAAGATCTTACTTGCTACTTCATCTTTGACATTATGCTTCCTTCCCGTAGGCCTTGGGTGGTAGGCCTGTCCCAACTCCCTAATCTGAAGTGACCAGCAGCAAAATATCAGGGACAGCAGCAAAAAGACCAGATCTGGTTTGATCACCTGTGCCTTGTATCATGAGAACGGTTCTTTGCACATTCAAAGCCACAGACATTTCTTGCAAAACGTTCTTTATTGACCAAAGCATTTTTTAGAAGTACAAACACACAGAAGGAATCTCTGAGCATGCACAGAGTGGTTTGCTGGACCCAACCTAGTATCCATGGGAGGTGGTTGAGGCCCCATTGGTGAGGGTGGTCAAGGATAGGCTGGACATGCACATGGTAGGCATGTCATGAGTGGAGCTGGCTGGAGCCGGGGGTCAGACTAGATGGACCGGGAGGCCCCCTTCTGACTCACTCTGTTTCTATGTTTCTATCTACTTCTAGGAACTCTCATGAGTATGTTTGTGCCCCATTTTTCAGGAGGGGCCTTTTGAAAACAAGCACGTCTCCCCTCTGCACACTGATCCTCTACCTGGCCCATCCTCCTCTGTAAAGGGGGTTGAGAGCTATACTCCCCTAAGAGCAACTCCCCTGTCCCAAGCCCCCTCCCAAATACCTGTCCGTCTAGGGCATTCCCAGAGGCCGCCTGAGCACCTGGGCAGCCTGACCTCTGCTTCTCTCACCGAAACATGTGCAAATGACCCACATTCCGAGGCCTCCCTGCTCCTCCTCTGTTTCCCAAATGGGAGGTCTTGGAAATGCATACCAAGAGCGACTCTCCTCACTCCCAACAGCACATTTCTCATATTACGGCCAATAAAGAAGTCCAGTTCCTTTTGCAGCAAATCCATGCATAGATGCAGGCTTTACAGAACGGGTCCTCAGACTATGGCCCGCGGGACGGATCTGGCCTGCTATGGCCATCCATCTGGCCAACGCCGCCGTTCGCCGCCCGTATGTGCGCTTGCTGCATGGGCGGGGAGGTGGTGGCTTGCTTGCTCGGAGATGGATTTGGACTCACTGGGAGATCTCCATGCGAGCGAGCCACTGCCGCGCGTGCCCAATGCTGCCTCGCGCGCGCCTGAGGGCACCTCACTGGCCCACGCTTTCAGGCACCCCCACCCCACTGGCCCGCGACAGTCACCGCAGCCTTTCAACTGGCCCCCTATTCAAAAAGTTTGAGGACCCCTGCTTTACAGTAATGGTCAGAACTGAATTTCCCATATATCCTTTTCATTGGACCTCTGTGTTTTCCCACGAGCATGAGCGTGTAACCTTATTACAACCTAAATATAAAAATGCTAGCTGCTATTGTTACACTTCAGATCCTCCTAATTCCATGTACGACTGTGACTAGCTTGTTTCATCATTGCAAACTTTTATTCTCTGTAATACTGCTTAGAAATAGACAGACACCACAAACAGTGGTTCCACTTTGCATTATTTGGCCTAAGGTTCCTTGGAGACTAGAACGCGTGAACTGGGATTTAGAAGAGTGTTGTTGAGTGAGCTCAGTCCATTTAGATGTTGTTTCAAAATTTCCTCTTTTTTAAAAAAATGTAATATCTTGACCTATAAAATGTACATTATAATCTAATATCAAACATATGAATTGTGTAGAACCAATAAAAATAATATATAACATGCATACTAGAGAATTAAAGAAATCTACATAACTGTATATATAAAATATCGCAATACAAAAACATGGGAAGAATCTTATACTTCTCAGGATTTAAAAGTATACCTTAATTTCACAAAAACAATGAAAGAAAACCAGCTAATATTACAAAGTTTCCAAATGTTTTCTTTGCTGTTCCTTCACCTCAATAAATTGTTAATTTTATTAGTTCTGCAATCTCCCAACTTGTCATATACTTCTCCCCATTCCTTATCTGTTTCTCCACTTTGGAGTTACCAAAATTCTTGCAGCCACTAGTAAGTACCAATTTTACTCTCTTTGATAGAAAGCAAACTGATCTAAATAGCCTAAAAGAATTGTCAGGGGATTTAAGGGTACAGACATACATACCATGGTGAGATTATAATACATATATCCCTCCAAAAAGTTGCAATATTTGGGCAACTCCACCAAATATGATCAAGGGTTTTCTGAAATCCGTACTTGCACTGTAGATTGCTGGAATCAACATGTTACTCAAGTGTAGGAAATCAAGCACCATGACACATGATGTTGGTTTCCTTTTGTATTAATTCAAGGTGAGGCAGGGCCCAGAATCAACTAATCAGTCAATCTAATCTATCTACCCTCCTCTCCTCTTCTTTCTTTTTGGCATAAACAAACTGCAATTGGGTGCTATTTTCTCTCTTTTTCAGGAGTCACAGACCAACTTGTTCAGGTAAGAAAAAACTACCTGGTCAGGTAGTTGTTGTGAGAACATGTAGCTCATTCCGCAATGTTGCAACCAACACATTCTTTCCCGTTATTCTTTCTCCCTCTCTAGCCCTCCGCAACAATTGTGTTGGAAGGGGCGTTCCCCTTTCACTGCTGGAAAGACTGCTGCAAGCAACAGATCTGCTTTGTGACCCAAATGCTTGTGTTGGGTTCATTTAACCATGGGGCTGCTGTGTCCCCCCAGATACTGTTTTTACATGACACCAGTGCGCACCCATCTTGCTGTGGCTGGCTCCACCATGCAAATCCAATGGGCAGAGGCTGTCTGAGAGTTGGGCAACCATCGAAGAACCCATGCTTTATTCGACACGGTTTTAAGGGCTGTCTGTCTGGGTTTGTATGACACAAAAACTATAGCAAGCCAGAGGCTGATGCCAAGGCAGTTTAACCCCATGCTTAAATTAAAAGAAAGTGGGTAGTCATGATGTGGTAATAGGTTCATGAGGATGTGGGGGGGGGGGACCACTCACAGAATTTTCTCTGCCACATAATTATTATCCTATTCCAAAGACAAAAGCCAGCAGGAATATTCCAAAGCAACAGGAGTGAAGAATATGTAGTCTAACTTTGGAAAAAGGAAAGAAAACAAACATCTTAACCAATTCTGATTTATCTCAGACATTTTAGCTATGGTGGGAACATCTGTATGATTGACTTTCTTGTGAGATTTCTATGCATGTAAATGGTTTTTCTACACTTTTCGGTTTTTGATGCCCTGTAAAATTTGTGCATCAACTGAATTCTCTTCTACTCCACTCAAGGAAACGTTTTCTCCCCATGTGAGTTACTCCCCATTGTACTCTCTAAATCATCCTCTGTACACTGCTATGATTTGATCAGTCTGAGTGCTTTCCTCTATGGCAAGCCTTCTTCTGTCCCCACATCCTCCACACCACCTGATTCTTTACTGTAAAGATAAACACTAATCCGAATCAGAATCTGTCTAAACTTCATGAATATTATAAGGTTTCTCCCAATGTGTGAATTCTTTGATGTGAATTAAGACCTCCACTCCCACTGAAGCTCTTTCCACAGTTTCTGCATTTATACGGTTTCTCCCCTGTATGGATTCTTTGGTGTGAAAGAAGGCTACTGCTCACATTGAAGCTCTTTCCACATTCCATACATTTAAATGGTTTCTGCCCTGTGTGAGTTCTTTCGTGTAAAGTAAGACTATCATGCCGACTGAAGGTCTTTCCACATTCCATACATTTGTATGGTTTCTCCCCTGTGTGAGTTCTTTGATGTAAAGTGAGACTATTACTCCGACTGAAGTTCTTTCCACACTTCAAACATTTACATGGTTTCTCACCTGTATGAGTTATTTGATGTGAAGTAAGGTGTCCACGCTGACTAAAGGTCTTTCCACACTCAATGCATTGATAGGGTTTCTCTCCATTGTGTGTTCTTTGATGTGAAGTAAGTTGTCCACGCTGGCTGAAGTTCTTTCCACACTTCATGCATTCATACGGTTTATCCTGTGTGTGAATTCTTAGATGTTTAGTACGATCTCCACTATTCCTAAAGCATTTCCCACACACTATACATTTATACGGTTTTTCCCCTGTGTGAGTTCTTTGATGTAAACTAAGAGTATCACTCCGACTGAAGCTCTTTCCACACTCCATACATGTATAGGGTTTCTCTCCAGTGTGGGTCCTTTGATGTGAAGTAAGGGTACTGTTCAGACTGAAGCTCTTTCCACACTCCAGACATGTGTATGGTTTCTCCCCTGTATGGGTTCTGCGATGTGATGAGAGCTGTTGGTTCTGACTAAATCTCCTTCCACAGTCTATACATTCATAGGGTTTCTCCCCTCTGTGGGTCCTTTGATGCAGAGCTAGGTTATTATTCTGACTGAAGCTCTTTCCACACTCCACACATTTATATGGTTTCTCCCCAGTGTGTGTTCTCAGATGTTTCGTAAGATCTCCGCTAATTCTAAAGCTCTTTTCACAGACTATGCATTTATATGGTTTCTCCATATTATGGGTTCTTTGATGTGTTATCAATGTTCCATGACTCATGAAGCTCTTTCCACATTTTAGACATGTATAGAGCCCCTCCTTCCTGTGGGTTCTTTCATGTGCAGTAAGATTTCGGATATCCCTGAAGCTCTTCCCACATTCCATGCACGACACTGGACATTTTCCTCTTTTCTTTCGTGGCTTACCTTTTTGGGGGATTTGGTGTTCGTGGAAGTCAGTCCCCCCAGAAGTAAATACTTGCTTCGTATCGGAGTTTGCTTCATTTCCCTCATATTTTGTCAATCTCCTTTGATTCCCAAATGTGTCTGTTCCAACTTCACAGTTGTTTGCTTTCCAAAACAAGAAAAATTAAGAAAAATAATATTAAGTTGTTCACTGTGGTAAACAAAGCCCTCAATAGGGATGAAGTTGCTTACTTCAACATCTTAAAGCTTTCTTTTCCTAAAACTGCTGAAACTGAGGTTATCTTAGGGATATGCTTCACTAGGACAATCAGTAGTAGCAGTAGTAAGTAGTAGTAAAAATCTTTATTGACATAGTTATAAATAATGCGTGCAAATAAAACTTTAGTCTAAAACACAGAGGCTTAAACCAACTAGCTTTCTTCTCGGGACTTCACAATCCAGTGCATAAGCTGGTACTCTTTCCAGAACCTCGGGCATCTCAGCAGATAAGAGAGTCCGTACTTGATTCATATCCGACCAGCCATGGATCCTTTCTAGAATCAGGCCCAGGTATTTCTTATGAAGCCTTCTATGAAGGGGGCAGTAGCACAGCATGTGTGTGAATGTTTCACCACTGCCCACAGGGGCATTGCCTTTCATGGGGGCATCACCTTTCATCATAGGGAGTCCCATTAAATCTACTGTCAAATAATGTCAAGGGCAGCAGGACATTAACATGAATGTTTTTGGGGAAAAGTGGACAAGTGACCTGGCCAGAACCTGGTGTGCAGTTCGAACCAAGCGAGGGGCGGGGGGGCGGATTTCAGAGGCTAAATTTCAGGACCAGGATACCTGAAGGAATATCTCCTTCCTTATATGCCCTCACACCCCTTAAGATCAGCGAGGGAGGCCCTGCGCTGAGAACCCTCCCTAAAGGAGGTAAAAAGGACGTCTACTTGGAACAGGGCCTTCTCTGTGATGGTGTCCAGATTATGGAATACACTTCCCAGTGAGGTTCACCTGGCACTGAACCTATATTATTTTCAGCGCCGGGTTAAAATCTTTTTATTTAATCGTTATTTTTAAAATTAGTATTGTTACTGTTTTACAGTTGCTTTTGTTTTGTTTTGATTGGATTTATTTGTACTGATTTTGATAATTTTATTGTATTGTATTGTTTTAGTGTTTGTTCTATGGTTTTGCTTTTAATCTTGTAAGCCATCCTGAGATGCAATAGTGAAGGACGGCATACAAATGTGTTGATAGTGCTTAAGGTGTTGGACTGGAGATTCAAGAGATATGGGTTCTAGTCCCTACCCAGCCATGAAGCTTACCGGATGGCTTTGGCCAGTCATGAACTCTCAGCCAAGCCTACCTCACAGGGTTCTTGTGATAAAATGGAGAGGAAGAGAACCTTGTAAGCCACCTTGGGTTCCTTGCAAGAGGCAGAAAGGTGGGATATAAATGTAATGCAATTCTTTATTTATTTTCACATTTATACGCCATTGAATAGCCCTCTGGGGCCTCTCTAAGTGGCTAACAACATTAAAAACAGGCCAACAGTACAATTTTAAGTACGGGAGAAAGGAGCAGGAAAAATCTGTAGCAGAGTGAGCTTTTACAATCAGGTGTTGAAGTCAGCTTTCAAAAAAGCTTCAAAGAGGACAGTTTTTGCTTGGCATTAAGATGAAAGTAGTGAAGGCACGCAGTGGACCTCTTTAGGAAGCCCATACGAAAAGTGCGGGGCAGCCACTTAGAAGGCCCTTCTTCTAATTGCCATCTCTTGGGCCTATTATTTTCATAACAGCGGCAGCGGCAGCAAACATTTGATTCCTGATGGATGACCCATCTTTCTCCCTCTCTCCCTCCCTCTCCTTATTAGGGAGCCAGTGGGGTGTATTGGTTAAGGATGTGGGTCTGGGACTCAGACGATCTGGGTTCTATTCCCTGCTCAGCCACGGAGCCACCTGGGTGACTTTGGGCCAGTCACAGACTCTCAGCCCAACCTACCTCACAGGGCTGTTGTTGTGGGGATAAGATTGGGAGGAGAAAGAAAATGTAAGCCACCTTGAGTTCCTTGAAACAAAAAGGGCAAGATATAAATATAATTAATTAATAAACTCTTGAGCTATTCCTAGTACAGCTGGCTGACTTGCTGCATGGGAAGTGATGGGCTGGGTGAGTGGGGAGGAGAGGCAGAAAAAAATGTCCAAAAATTAGAGAGAGAGAGAAAGCAAGAATGGAGAGGGCAGCTAGGCGGAGCTGAGAAGGCTGAGATGGGGCAAGATGCGTGTCCAGGGAAGACAGAAATTGCAGTGATAGTGAGACCCAGTCTATGCACCCAGGGACTTAAGAAAGAGTCAGGCCAGGAGAGAAAGCAAGAAAGCACCGTCCCAATGCGTGTGTCCGATCACTTGGAGGGCTCTGTGCAAAAGGCGCTCTCTACCCCACCTGCACCAGATAGCTCCTTCAGGTCTCCCATCTCAGCTCAGACACTCTCTCCTGTTCTCAGGACCAAAATGAAGGGAAGGGTCAAGTGGGTGTGGGCAGAAAGCGTGAGGCCACCCAGAGAATTTGCAGCCTGATGGGCCAGTTTCTCCTCACTGAAACTGGATGTAAATGGAAATCTTCACCAAGGAACCTCCTCAGTTCTCAGGTGGGTTGTGGTCCCACCAAGCACCTACTTCCTGACCTGTCCCCTTCCTCGGTACCTTGGGCAACTGGATCTTCTCCTTCTTCCAGCTTGGAGATGAGGTCTGGTTTGGGCAGGGCTTCTATGCAAAGAAATAAAGAAAAGAATTTGTACTTTTGAGTACAAATATGGAGACTTTCTCCATCCACCCACTCCCCTGAGCCCCTTCAAAAAGCTTACAGAAGGAACAGACAAAGGGAAGGATCACATTCTAACATTGGATAAAGCCAAGAGAAAAGAAAAGAAACTTTTTCATGCCAATTCATTTCCTAGAATTAGATTAATATTTACAGAAGACCATAACCAAAAGGTACAAGATGGAAGGCTATTTATTATACAGATAGTGCCTTTGTCAGAAAAATCCCATCACATTAATAAAGATGTTAATTATGTATTGCGATGACTTGCCAAACTGAAGTTCAAAACAAACTTGGAAGATGAGCCCCTGGGCTGTCAAATCCAATGCCTTTAAATTTTTCTGGTTGACCAAAAGGAAAACACAGTTGCAGAAACTGCAGGAAAAATCCTCAAGGGAGGTCTGTCCTCTGCTGAGTGGGATGATGCTGATGAAGGGCATGCGAGGTGTACCCACCATCTCCCCATGAAAATTCTAGCATGCCAAGATGAGAACAAGACTAGAACCTTTCACCACAACAATGGGAGTCTTTCATTCCTTTGAAATACAAGAAGCGGGTGTCAGATCATGGAAACCTCGTGCCAGGAATCTGATGTTTAGCAATGCATTTGCTATATTTGCGACATGCAGCACAGGAGTGAGAGAACAATGAGAGATCATGGAGCCACGCTTCCAGGTTTCTCCTCCCTAGAAAGTGGATTTTTCCATGTGGAAGATGATATCCTCTAAGCTAAAGACCCACACAGTGCAGTAAAGATCTGGCCACTGATTTTCCTCACTGCAGAAGTACAGGGCAGTGATTAATACCCAAACATGGAATTAATCCCTTTGGTATCTATTCATGAAAGGAGAAATATCCTTACCCAGAGAGGCCACTTTCCCATAGTTCTCCAGTATGGCTTCCTTATACAGAGCCTTCTGGCCTGAATCCAAGAGTTCCCACTCCCCCATGGTGAAAGGACAGAGTCTTCCTCAAAGGACCCTGAAATCGAAGTGAAAACAAGCTGATCTCGATTTGAAACACTCTTCCGAAAAGCACCACCGCTCCCAGTTCTGGAAGAACTGATGGCTTTTTTAAAGCATCCTGTGTGCAATGGATTCACTTCTGGGGAAAGAGAAGGCAGAACAAAAGGGATCATTGCTCAGGAGCATAAAGAAAGAACACCTACTAGTCCTCAAGAAATCAAACCAGTCAGCCTTAGACGAGATCAACCCTGACTGCCCTTTAGAAGGCCAGATCCTGAAGATGAAACTCAAATACTTTGGCCACCTAATGAGAAGGAAGGACTCCCTGAAGAAGACCCTGATGCTGGGAACGATTGAGGGCAAAAGAAGAAGGGGACGGCACAGGATGAGGTGGCTGGATGGAGTCACTGGGACAGTGGGTGTGGGGCTGGGTGGATTCCAAAGGATGGTGGAGGACAGGAGAGCCTGCAGGAATGTTGTCCATGGGGTCATGACACGGACACAACTGCAACTGAACAGCACCAACTAGTCCTCATGGCTGTTTGCTACCTCCAGTATCTGAAGCCATGCCACAGGTGCTGGGATACATGGGCAAGAGAGTGCTGCTGCTCATAGATGTTGCATGGCCAGCTGGCTGGCAGGAGTGTGGAGAGAATCTAGCAGAGAGGGGCCTTTCACCTGATCCTTCAAGGTTCTTAAGCCCTCAACAGTTTTCTTGGGCTGCTTGGGATATCCTGCAGCACCAACACAAAACGGGAAGATGCATATTCTTTGCAGCCCCTGCGTTCAAACACACTGCAGGGTAGCCAGGCTGTCCTCATAGTTTTCACAATGACCTTTCCCTTATAAGTCTTAGGAGAGGATTTTCAACATGTCAGAAAGTCAGGTAAATGTGCAAAAGGGAATCTCCAAAAACTGGGGGCTTTGGGAAGGCAGGAAAAGTGGGCATGGGCATCTGGGAACTCTGGTGGGCCTAATAGGGACCCCTGTAGGACTGGTTGGATCCCACAGGCTCAAGGTAGCCCAAGTCTGCTATAAAAACTCAGTCCACTCTTGGGCTCCTAAAGTAGTTTCTATCATGCACTGCTAGGATTAGTTCTTTTACTACAGTCTTAGAACTGTGTGGATAGCAGTGCAAAAGACATCCACTTAGAATGAAGGAGCTCTAAGTCCAGGAATGTGCTTGGAGTCCCAGAACTGAGTTCACAGCCCTTTCATGCCAAAATCCATGCCTAATTATCACCCATTCCTTGTTTGCTTTCTTTTACCAAAAAGTGTGTGTGTTGGAGGGGAATCTTTTTGTTGTCACCATTTTATACAGTTGGGAGCCAGAAACTCTTGGTGATCTACCTCAAGTCAAATCACCCAAGATCTACCAGTTGTTTCTAAAATAGCTTACACCCAATGCTACACAACACCATACAGGCTTCCCTTCTGTACTACCTTACAGGGTTGCTGTGAGGACTGCTCCCTTGACCATCCTTGGCTTGCAGGAGGAAAAGTGAGGTGGCTTTTTTCAGACTGAGGACATCCAAACCTATCTTTCCACCTCCAGCCCTGGAGCACAAAAACAAGACACTGAGCATCACGGTGCGGCCTAGTGGTTAGAACATTGGCCTGGGATTCGGGGGTTCTGGGTTCCAGTGCCTACTTGCTCATGAAGCTCGCTGGGTGACTTTGGCCAGTCCCCCCGCTCAGCATCTCAGCTCACAGAGTTGTTGTGAGAATAGAAAAGTGGCTGAGAACTAAGTAGGTTGCATTAGGTTTCTAAGGGGAAGAAAGACTGGATAATAGTAATAACAGTAATAATTAGTAAAGCAGTAATTACAGTAATAAACCCTTTGCTCCACCCACAGCAAAAGTTTATGGCTCCGATGAGGGACAGCAGGAAAACTGAACAAGGAAATAATTCATTGTTGGGGTGCGGATTCTTTGCGGCTGCATCAGCTTGGATCCTTTGGGGTCCCCTTCCCCGTTTGGGTTTGGGGGGCGCTATCCCCTCCTCTGCAGCAAGCCTCGCTGGCCCACCCTCCCGTACCAACCCGCACCGGGGAGCCCCTGCGGGAGGCGAGAAGCAATGGGGCGCCAGATCATTGCAGCTGGGGGCGACTGCATCCTGCGGGGGCGGAGGTCCCCAGTTGGGGAGCCCTTTCTCCTTCCTTCCCCCCACTGCCGGTCCCATCCCACCGAGGACGGGGGGCTGCAAAGGAGGGAGACGCTGCAAGGGGAGCTCCGCAGTTCTCGGGGGGCCCTCTGCAGGGGGGCGGCGCGGATCAGCCCCCGCCCCGAAGCGATCCGCGGGGCAGGGGGGCTCCTCGCCCCATGGCAGCCCCCAACCCCATTCTCGGCTTCCCTCCCCCTCCTCCCGCCCCGCCCCCACGCTGCCCCTTCCAGGCTTTATCGAGCCCCCTCGGCACCCCCACTTACCGCTCCCCGCGCTGCACCGCCACAAGCGCCAAGGCCTCCCCGCTTTTCGGGCTTCCTGCCCGTCTAGGAACCGCCGCTCGGTTCATTTAACCATTGCAAGGTTGGGGAGGCAGCCGCTGCAGCCGCTGGTCCCGCGCTCGCCCCCCGCCCCCCGCCCTGGCTTCTCTTCCCCGGGGCAAAGCTTGAATAGTCCGCCTTCTTTGCATCGGAAGGATTTTTCAGCAAGCAGCGACGAGATGCTTGGGTACAACACGTGGTGTTCGGCCGAGTTCCGAGATGCAGGGAAATTACGAATGTTTAGGGTCACGGTTTCTGATAACCTAAGAGCCAGTGTGGCCTAGTGGTTAGAGTGCTGGGTTGGGATTCGGGAGATCCAAGCCGTGCTCTGCCGAGAAGCTAGACTTTGGGCTAATCAGAGACGCTCAGGCTAACCTACATCGCAGGGCTGGAGCTGTCGATTCCAGAGGAAGCCGCAGCCTCGAGCTAGAAGAACCGAGCAGGGCTGCTAAGTGCAGCTCATTTTGGAGGACACGTGTCTGCAGGGTCGCCATCCCCAAGGAGAATTGTGCAACCTTCTTGGTTCCTTGCAAGAGGAAGAAAGGTGGGTGAGAAATGCAATTTAAGAAGAAGGAAAAGTTCTCTCTTGAGTCAGACCAGGGTCCATCTGGTCCAGCATTCTGTTCGAACAGTGGCCAACCAGGTGCCCCTGACAAACACCCAAGTAGGAAATGAACACCACTTCTTCTTCATCATCATCACTACTACTACTATTACTGTTGCCAAGAACAGTTTAGTGAACAGATGAGTTCAGCCTGAGGGCCCCCTAGACCCCAGCCAAGAAGAGCCTAGAGATGAGACTATGAGTCATACAAGCTTTATTTTAGTGTACCAAAAAGAAGCAGAGACCAAAAAAAAAAGGGGGGGGGAGATTGAATGCCCCAAAGCCACAGATCAATTACAGTACCCTAAACAGGTGTTATATACCTACCTAAGCAATCAGGTCACCTTATACACATCTGGTACATCAATACACTTTGCCCCCTACTGCTTAATTCCAAGAGTCCTGTCTTCTTCAAGGTCTAGTCTTGGCTCATGTCCAGTTCCTTATCTTCCTGTAATACACATCAGCCTGGTGCAGTCTATTCCCTGTATCTAGCATAGCATGTTGTTACTTTTGCTCTAGCTAGACTCTACTGCCCCTTTGATTATGAAGTTGAGGTCAGGCTAGATTGTTAGCTGCAGGTTACACAAAGTTCATTTCGCTCTCATACTCTTTCCTCCCACTCAGACCGGAAGCTCAATCTAGCTGTTAATTCTTTAACTATGGCTACAGTGTTTGTAAGAGAATATGAGTGTGTGTGTGTGTGTGTG